AAGATGACCGTCTGAGGTCGCCGCAGTCTCGGGGTTCCGGGGCGCAGGCGTCGGCGGTCAGCAGCCGGGCTCGGGCCCGGGGACGCTCGAGCGCGGGGGACGCTCGGACGCCTGCGGCTACCGGGGCTCCGGCCTTAGGGCGGCACTGGTGCCACCAGCACCCGCGGCGCGCAGCCTGTGCTCGCGCCGACCCGGAACCCGAGGCCCTGGCGGGGAGAAGCCCAGCCCCATTACCTGGCCGCCGGCTCCCGGCTTGACGTGCGCGGCCGAAGACACTCCCACCTCAGGGACGCCCCCCGCAGGCTCCTCCTCGCCCTCAGGCGCCCCCCTCAGTCCCCCCTCGGGCGCCCCCTCAGTCCCCCCTCGGGCGCCCCCCTCAATCCCCCCTCGGGCGCCCCCGTCAGTCCCCTCCCTCTCGGGCGCCCCCCCTGGGGCGCCCCCCTCAGTCCCCGCTCGGGCGCCCCCTCAGGCTCTCCCCTCGGGCGCCCCCCAGTCCCCCCTCAGTCCCTCTCGGGCGCCCCATCCCCCTCGGGCGCCCCCTCAGGCTCTCCCCTCGGGCGCCCCCAGTCCCCCTCAGGCGCCCCCCTCAGTCCCTCTCGGGCGCCCCCATCCCCTCTCGGGCGCCCCCCCAGTCCCCCCTCAGGCGCCCCCCTCAGTCCCCTCTCGGGCGCCCTCCTGTCCCCTCTCGGGCGCCCCCCATCCCCCCTCGGGCGCCCCCTCAGGCTCTCCCCTCGGGCAGTCCCGCTAAGCGCCCCGCCCCCCATCCCAGGCGCGACGCGGTCGTTCACCTCAGGCAGCGCCTCAGTCTAGGCTGTGCGGTCCCCAGGCGCCCGGAAGCGCCCTTGTCGGGCTCTGTTTTAGATCTCTGCTGGACGTACGGTGCCAAACCTAATTCTTCCGCCGTACCCACCCCTCCCTCCAGAAATGTTCCTGGAGCGCCGGGCAGGGTTGTCTTTAACCTTTCCCCCTCATCATTCTCTCACTCATTGTCGCTCGCCCTTTCGTTCTATAGACATCTATGGCGGGCACTACGCTAGGAATGGGGGACAGTAGTACACAAACAGCGGCCCCCGTGCCCACTCTTGAAAGTTAGAATTTAACCTACCCTCAGGCTGCTCGTTTAAGTCTTTAGGAACTCCTGCATCCCAAGAGGGTCTATCCCTCTCCTCCTCGCACGCATTTACACTTGTTGAGGCTGGTGCCTAAAATCCCTCTGGCAAACTTCTGAAGGGCTCGAAGCATCCTGGTCCTTATCAGCTGGTTGTTCCTGTCTCTAACTGTCTGGTGGAATAGAAATTCTCTGAATTAGCCTATTGGACAGGAAAAGAGAGTGCAAGAACCAATCTCGAAATGGACAGTTTATACTGTATCCCTCTTACGCCTTTTGTTTTGTTTTTCTTCTCTGCTTTCATTACCAGAGACGGAGGTGAGATGGGTCAGTGTTCCAATGAGTGCCTCAGGACAAGTTAGACGTTTCCGTGGGAAAAAAGTCACCTGCTTGTGTTCTAGTTCGACTAGGTCATTTTGCCCTCTCAGCTGCTTCTCAGGATAAAAATGGGAATATTTAACCCAAGGGTACTTTCTTAAACACTTTAATCTGATGTCCAATAGAATTCCAGTGTTTCAATCTAAGTAGCTTCTCAACAGCTCTTCTTTCTCTTTTAGTACAAATTAGTCTTCCTGTCTTGAATCTCCAGGTTATCCTTTACACTGATGTTAGAATTATCCTTGTAGAAAATTTTAATCATGTCATTCTTTGGCTTAACAAATGCTTATGTTCCTTTTTGGTTAAGATTCACTGTAACTGACCTCATTTACCTTACGAGACTGAATCCCAGTACTAGCCTTACTTGAAAATATATTACTCATTGCTCCAAACTTCAATAAATTTATTGCTGTACCCTCTGTAAGTCGATCTAGCCATCTGTAGTAGCATTTATTAAAAACTATGGGAAGGACTGAGGGAGACTATGACATAATTCCCTGAAGAATGGTTCTTTGAGGGTGACAAATTATAATGGTCATGAGAAAATGACTTGTAAACTTTAAACTACAAGGAGTGTCATTGACCAGGGCAGCAGCTGCTTAGAAATCACTGTCATGTTGGCATGGGGGCTGTCCTCACAGGGTACTGCCAGCCAATGACAGAGTGTGGTGAGGATACTAACGGAGACACAAGACTCCTGTACTGAGCTACTCTGCCTCCATATTCCTCAGCAGCTTTGCTGAAAGTCCACAGCCTAGGATGCTTCATTTATTTTCTTCTTTTCTTGGGTCAGACTTGTATCACAGTCAGTCTGACTGCTCTCCTGGCCTTTCCCATTTTTCTCTATTTTTATTAGAGGTGTTTCCTCTAATAAAATCCTTGTAGGATTAATCTCACCATAGTGTATGTTTTTTGGAGGATCTATGCTAATACCTGAGTATTGGAACAATGTGATAGGCATTGATAGAGGTATAAAACATTCCTCAAATATCTGCTGATTTTCTCCTACCTGCCAGATACTGTGCTGGGCTCATCTCTGTCCTCCTGGACTTAGTCTATGGGGAGCAGACAAATACTTAGGCAATGACAATGTAGTATTAAAATATGTTACAGCAGAGGAAACATAAGGTAGTACATAGGAAAGGTGGACTTGAAGGATTGAGGAGTGCTTTCTGGAGAAAGGAATTATCATTCCAAGATAAATTAATAAAAGTAAATGGGAGTTAGCCAAGCAAGGGGCATAGAGAGCATTCCATATAGAGGAAAATCTGAGGAAATACAGCTCTGGAGTATAGTATGTGGAAGAGGGGTGGTAAAGATGAAGCAGGAGGGACATGCAAAGGGCCAGAACAGGTAAGGTCTTGTGGACTACATTATGTATTTTGGATTTTATTCTGATACCAGACAACAGGATCTCTTGGTATGGAAACAATAGAAAAGAAACTAAGCCAAAGCTTTATTGGGACTTAAGTTTGAGCTGACTGACTTCAGCTTTATTTTTGTTGTTGTTTGTTTTTTGTGGCACTGGGGTTTAAAACTCAGGGCTTCACACTTGCTAGGCAGGCGCTCTACCACTTGAGTCATACCTGCAGCCTCTGGCTTCATCTCTAGCAGGAAGAAGACAGCAGTGGTAGAGACAGGGGTCAGGTTGCTGCTCACCGAGCAAAGAGGGCAACAAGTTGTTACTGGTTTTCTGGGTGAGCTAAAGTTTTGAAATTTTTCATTGTCCATGGGCATCGTTTCAAAAGATGTTTTCTCTCTTCTGAGAAAACACTGTAGCCTAGCCTTGAGGTTTGGGCGGTCAACTTAAACTAGGAACTGCTGAGTTTTACCCGTGGTCCATGCCATCATCTAAATCATCTTGCATAAATGACCGGCCTCACGGTTTGTTCTGGGCTTTATGATAAGGCTGCAAGACTTTCGGTGTATAAGGCTGCTGAGAAAGCACAAGGGTGGGGAAGAACAAACGTGTACCAACTCCAGTGGGCAATAGACTGCGTTAATCCTGTATTATAGTCTCTTGGACAAAACATTTTGGGGTATTGAGTCCTAGAATTCCACCTCCATGACCATCAGTAATGAAAATCTCAGATTAAAAACATGGTCTTTCCTGGACCTTCTATTGTTATCTGAGTGACAGTACCAGATGATAACTTTCCAGAGGCGGCAGAGCACCCTGGGTATTATTATACATGATTACTGCTCATAACAGAACAACTGCCTCATCCACAGAAGAACGGATAAGCTAGGATGTATACACATACTAGGATATCATACAGTAATACTAAAACTATGAAATATGTACTTTATCTATATAGATGAATCTAAAAAACATATGATTATAAAAACCCCAATTTTCAAAAGAAGAGACATCGGGCTGATTTCATCTATATAAAGTTCAAAGCCATACTGAAGAGCAGGGAACTCAAGACATGTAAGGAGAAGTAAAAATAAGAATTCTAGCTACTCAGGAGGCAGAGATCAGGAGGATTGTGGTTTGAGGCCAGCATGGACAAAAATTTTGCAAGACCCATCTCAAAAATATCCAACACATAGAAGGACTGGCAGAGTGACTCAAGTGATAGCAAGCATATGGCCCTGAGTTCAAACTCCAGTAATGCCAAGGGAAAAAAAAGCGATAAGAAGATAAGACTGTGGAAGGGGGAACAAAGAATTTCTTTCTCTCTCTCTAGAATATATAGCCCAGGCTGGCCTCAAAGTCTAGATCCTCCTATCTCACTGTCTCAGACTCCTGCATGCTAAGATTACAGGTGCACACTACCATGCATAGCTTAATGGTATTTGTTGGTGGGCTATTTCTCAAGATGTTTAATAGATGTACAGAAATTGTTTTTACTTCTCTTCAACCTTCATGTAAGTGTTTCTATTCATGAAATAATTCATAAGAGAAGGAAAATAAGTACTATTAAAAAGAAAGCTATTTTTATGTAACTCTGTTCTTAAGCAGAATGTGTGATTATATCTGAGACTAGCTGGGCTTCATCTGCATTTCAAGAAGTCAACGTTAAGAAAAAATAAGGGTGATATTTAATCTCTCTGATCTTAAAACATATTGACAAAACAAATCATTTCTCATTTTATACCATAAATTTTATCAGTAGATGAATTTGGCATAAACAAAAACTGACAAAATCTAATTCTTAAATCTTAACTTTTGAAGAATCAAGACTCCTAACACATTAACCCAAGATCATGAGACTCAGTTGCAGTCTCCAGTGCCCAAGTGAGAGATTCAACTTCCACCACCCAGTCCTTCACATTTTGTTTTCACTACTAGCTTTCTTTTATACCTCCGAGAAGTCAGTTCTCCCATGACCAAACAACTTTGCCTTGATCTCTTGTACTTTCCTCCTGTCATCATCATTTAATTCTGAAGTGGGGTATCCATGGTCATGTGCTAAATTAAACTTCAGATTCCAAGCTGGAGAGAAAGCATAGGAACACTTGAGATACTACAACACAAAACTGATCATTTTTTAATGATACTAGCACAGGAAAGCAGTATGTGCAAGTTAATGCCTATCACAGTGCTCAGCATGTGCTCTTAATCCTACAACTTATTAAAAGTTCTCGAGAGCCAGGCCTGGTGGTACATATCTGTAATCTCAGCTACTCAAAATGTAGAGATTGGAAGGTTCATGGTTTAAGGTCAGTCCAGGTAAAAAGCACAATGACCTATATGAAAAAGAACTAAATGGGCTGGGGGTATGGCTCAAGGGGTAGAGTGCTTGCCTGGTAAGTAAGTGCAAGACCCTGAGTTCAAGTCCCAGCATGTCCAAAAAAAAAGTTCTTGAGACGTCAATTCACTGAACATTTTGGAGCTTCCTCAGTTAAATAACTATCTGGCAATGCCTGCTGGTAGAAAATAGTGGTCTTCTCTTTATGTGGGTAGGAAGTAGAAGATAATGTTGCTTTCCCAGTCTTCTGGTCATAGGATGCCAGTGGCTGACCAGTAGATGACCTTCTGGCAAGACTTCTTGGTATAAATTACTGGGCTTCTTCTATGTGAGTAGGAAGGAGCAGGGGCTGTTGGTATCCCAGTGTTCTGGTCATCTGGTTCAGGAATATCTACGACTTTCAGACTCTCTTCAGTTAAATGACTGTCTGCCAATGCCTTCTGGCTCAGAGTAACAATGTGTTGACCAATAGCATTCTCTTGAGGAGAACTTGCAGCCAACTGAGATAACTTCTGAAGGAACAAGGATAAATGAGGTCTGAATCTCCAGGAGTGGTCAGGACACCCGATTTCAACTTGGATTGAGTAATTTCAGCTATACCTCCTTCAGAAGTGACTCCTAAAGATAAAGAGATTTGTTAATATTATATATTTATTTTCAATTAAAAATCTTTCTTTGCACTGAAAAAATAAAGCAAGCTTCATTACTTTCGGCCTGTAAGCTTTTAGAAATCATTCCCATGGAAATAATCATCAAAGGAGACATATATACATGAAGACATCATCAAAGGAGACAAATATACATTGCCAAGCAAGCTAAAGTTAAAATAATCAACAACACAGTAATGGTTTTAAAATAAGAGTGTATCTACTTATGGAATATTATATCTTAAAATTTGGATTTTTAAGGAATTTTCAGTGGAAAATGCTGTTGGGTCAGGATTTGATTTCATCCTACTCACAAGCTAATAGTTGGTCCATTATTGTGTCATGAATGATGACAGGAGACTTAAGACTATCAGTCAGAGACAAAAGATGTCATTATGCACATCATAGCAAAGGACCATCAGATTATTTTTGAGGATTCCTCTTACCCTCAAGTCTCATGAGGGCAATGTAATATGGATCAGATGGATGCTATGCACATGGTGGGTTTGACTGACTCTCCCTGCATAGTTTATAAAATATGTACACATGTATGTGTATGTGTGTGTATTTTGTAAGTATTTGAAACTGTAAAAGACTCTAAAGTTTATACCAAGAAATTTGAACTTAATTTTACATGGCATAGGGAGTTCTTGGCATTTTGATAAGGACAAAAATATGAATTCAACATGGGTAAAAAGGGAATGTGAAAGTCTAAGCAGTAAAATCCAATGGAACTTTCTGTAGTAACAGAAATGTTCTGTATTTTCACTGTCTCATTCAATAATTTCAAATGAAAGTAGTTGTAAGTGGCAGTGTAATTAAATGACTACAACTCTATGGAACTCGGGGAAGGAGGGAAAGGAAAAGAGAATGATAGAGCATCAGGAACATCACATAACTAAAATGTGAAGGTAGAGGATACAAGGATGTGTATTGAAAGCTGTTGAAAAATGGGGGGTGGGAAGTAAAGTGGTAAGGGAAGTAATGGAAGGGAATGAACGGACCAAAGTAAAGTTTACTTACAATGGGCATACATTGAGACACCCCTTTGAAAATCAACTTAAATATTAATAACGAAAACCAGGACTGTACAGTGTGTGTGTGTGTGTGTGTGTGTTGGGAGGGGTACTCGTGGGAGCGGGGAGGGTGAATAAAGGAGATTAAGGTGATGGTCTGTGGTAGATGGACATCACATACCTATATGAAACAGAACTAAGAAACTTCTTGCAAACACTTTAAGTGGGATGGGGAGGGAGTTGAGGGGGAGAGATGAGCCAGGCAATGTAAATAATGTACAATATGTCTTATCGGAATTGTCACTGTGAATCCCCCCTATAATGAATATATCCTAATAAAAATTTATTAAAAATGACTGCAACACAAATGACAGTTTGACAAGATGCACATTTATTCATTTGAAAAATATGAATATTTACTAGGTGTCAGGCACCATACTAGATACAGAAGATACAACAATAAACTGACAATAATCCCTCTTTCACAAAGCCTACAAGTTAGCAGGAGGAGTCACACAAGAAATAAGTATGTAAAACATATTGTATGACAGATGTTGGTTAGATGCTAACGATATACAGCAGGTATTATCTATATATTACATATTGGGAAACTGAGTCTTTTTATCCAAAATAACTATGTAACAGTGCTTCTCAATGTGGGTATCTTGTTAACTTGCATATTCTGATTCAGCAGGTCTGGAGTGAGACCTGAAATTCTGCATTTTTTACATTGGGCATTTTATAATGCCCAATTCTATTGTTCTCTAATTAATTAATTTTTTTTGGTGGTTCTGGAGTTTGACTCAGAGCTTTATGGTCTTGCTAGGCAGGTGCTCTACCACTTGAGTCCACTCCACCAGCCTGCTATTTGTTCTTAGCCGAATTTCAATTAAAAAAGATATATAACTTTTCTAGAGTTGTAGAGTGACAAAACTGCTAACTTTCTTTAATTCAAACTCTTTATTCTGAACTCTTTCCACTACAACTAACTGCCCATCTCTAAGGCCACTTATGGGCTTTAAAAAAGTAGCTGAATATAGAATGAAAACGAATTGGAAGGTGAAGAAGTAGAAGTGTCAAGTATTAGCTGTTCAAAATAACTAAGGGCAAAGGAAAATATGTAAGCTGCATTGTAACTTAAGAAGAAATATGGGTTATGAGTATTTTCATGAGGAAATAAAATAGGCTGAAGAAGTTAATAAACCAAAACAGATAAACAAAACAAAATCTTGTTTTTCCAAATGATTTCCCAATTTTTAGAAGTGTTTATTTCTCTTTGACCACTACAAATTGTAAGTGACATAATGAAGGAAACAATGAGATAAACAGCCAAGGAATTAAGGTATATAGCTAGATCCTTGAAAGATACAGAAGTTTACATAAGAAAAGAAGACTTTAGGAGGAAGGAAAAGGTTAAGTAGACTAGGGTAAGGAATTATGATGATGGATGGCATAATTTTAGAGTGATTATTACTCTTTCAGCCCTGGAAGAGAGGAAATATATAGATCAAATATGAGTGCTACAATATTGCTACATACCTACTGAATCTTTAAAGATCCATTTTCAGTACTGGGGATGGTTAAAGAGAAAAGTTTCGATGATGGAAAGGAAGATTGGTGCCCAGAAAAGGCTCTAATATGGCCAAATCTGAACTGTGGGACTAGTAGAAAGGTGATTAAGACTAAAAATCTGGTTAGGGTTAGCTCAAGAACTCTCCCCAAAGGAGTCAAATGCTTATTAAGACAGAGGGCTTTCTTAGGAGACAAACAGTGTACTGTTTCCCAAAGTATAATCTAAAGTATTCTATGACATGATTTATTAAGAGTAAGTAGCAAGTCTTTTGTTTCTCACAGACAAAATGAGATGCAATTCCAGACTTTCATTTTACCTGTGACCAAGGGCTTCTTACAGGTAATTATTCCAAGGAAATTATTATAGGGTATTAGAACTAACACACACAAATAAATTAATTCATTTCTGGATGTCTGGGCCTTTAATTTAATCACTACTGAGAAGTACTGGCTGTCTATAAAGTGTGCTATTGTATGCACAGAGCAAGTAGAATAAAATTCTTGAAGTTTTTAAAAGGACATAGATGATACTTTAAGTTGTTCTTTGTCTTTACTGCTGTTATTCTTGATTTCTAATTATGTAACTTACATCTTTACAAGTGCTTAATAATTAATTATTGATAGAAATTTTGTTGTGAGTTATTTGGATAATCCCTCAGCAAATTGGTAGATATTTATATCAACATTATTTTAAGCCTAAATTCCCTCTTAACTAGACTATAATATGAATATTATGGTTCAAGAAAGTCTTTTTCTGTTTTGAGACAGTCTCACTGTGTAGCCAAGGCTGGCCAAGAACTCACTATGTAGCACAGGAGTGAATTTGTAATCCTCCTGCCTCAGCCTCCTAAGTGCTGGGATTACAGAAATGTACCACCCCACCAAAGTAGGAGCTTATTTTTTTTTTATTGTTGTATTGGGTGGGGGTACATTGTGGCATTTATAAAAGTTTTTACAATATATCAAATACTTGAATTCAGTCCCTCAACCATTCTCCCCTCCCCGCTGGATTTTCAATTTACATACATGTGTACACAGTATTTCCACCATATCACCCTCCTACACCCTTTCCCCATCTCCTTCCTCCTCCCACTTGTACCATACTACCCCCCCCCCCGCCACCCACAGGGTTCCTGTTCTGCAGTTTTGTAAAAGAAAGAAAAAAAAATGACATTTTTGCTTGTTTAAGATAGTTACACAGGGAGTTTCCTGTGGCACTTCCAACATGTATATTATAGCCTCATTTGATTCATTTCCTCTATTTTTCTTCTTTCTATCTTAGTCCCTTTTCTTCTAATGGTTTCAACAGGTTTAAAAATTCTATATTCATTCTTGTATAGACAGCACACCAACCATATTCACCTTCTTAATTTCCAAGTAGGAATTCTTGATGCATTTATTGGCAAAGTAGATATAAATATTACCTCTCAAAGTGCCTGCTTAGTGACACTTCATTAATGTTGTCCTGTTGATAAATGCATGCCATTTAAGTAATTCATGACAGAATATCAAATTAAATGTAAAAAAATACTGAGTTTAGTAGATAATAGAAAACTCTTTGGTAACTTATGAATCACATACATAGGCTCATACTACAACTGGTACATTTCATTTCTAATTTTTTGTGATTAAGCACTAAGTTTTTCATTCTGCAACTAGAAATTGGTAAGGTAAGTGGACTGTAGACTCTTGTGAATTCCTAAATGGGCAGAGGTTTCAAAAACAAAGAACTACTGGTGCATATGGAAAGTTGTGAACTCTGCATTAGACAGTAAATCCAAAATTCACTATTTTCTAATAGACTAACTCTGGGAATGTTAGTTTCTCCACCATATCATCCTCACGGAATTATGAAGAAGACTAAATTAGATCGTGTATGTAAAGCACCTGGCAAATGAAGTACACCTTTACTCACAGGCGTTCCCTCAGAGACAGGAGGAAGATATAATTTCAGATCTTGCTTCAGTTTCCTTACCTTTAAGAGAGTCCTCCCAAAGTCCTGCCTCAAACCAGGACTGGCTCAGAAAATCTTGGACACTTGGCCACTAAAAGCTGCCTGTAAGTGAGGAAGCATTACAAGGAAAGCAGGGTCAGAAGCATCACCCCAGTCCTCTTCCAGTGGATGTACCTCTGCACCGGGATCATTCTTCACTATGACTATACTTCCTGGTTACCTTAGTCCTTACCAAAGGGTAAGGATTGTGATTTTGTTTTTTTTCATTGTATCTCTCTGTGTGTACTGAGAACATGCCAGGCCTTCTCTGGTTGCTCTATATTATATAGGATAGCAGCTTCAAATCTGTGCCTAGCCTTGAGTTACTCCATTTTATTAAGCAGTAGTTTTGGCCTAAGTTACTTCATTTTGAGTATAAGTACCAAGACAGAATGACTCCACATCTTGTTTATACAAGTGAACAACCACCATCTGCCAGTATGCCACGAGGCACAAAGTGACAAATAGTATTTTTGTGCCAGTACATAATTACACTCATAAATATGTAAAGTCTTATCAGAAACACCAGACATGAGTTTATCAGTCACACCAGATGTAACCCCTTCACATGGGTTATAAAAAAAGGAACACCCAGGACTGAGGCCTGCTAAGTACACTGACCCATCATTTGTCACGAGCCTCCTTCAAGAAAATTTCCACAGTGAGGGAACTCTGCTTCTATCCCCAGTGACAGTTGTTTCTCTTAGTCAAGACACACAGCCTACTTCAAGCTGACACTCAACTGTCTGCCACTCTACCCTGGATATGACAACTCTGTGCCAGGAACAACTCTGCCTGAGGATTAGTAAAACTTACCTAGTTCCCTACAGAGACTATTCCTTTCTTCCCTGTCTACTCTCTGCTTGTGCCTCCAAAATAACCCTCTGAACTCTGCAGCCTTTTAAACCCTTTTTTAGCCATTCTGTAACATATATGTTATTATATGTAATATGTATTATGCATATATTATTGGCACAAAGTAATGATTCTGAGAAATTTGGTGAACGTGCCCATTTACTCACATATTTCTCCTACTAGAACAGATATAGGTATTTGAGCTTCTGGAGTAACTGGGGAAACCCCGCCACTCCTGGCCCTGGAATGACACCTCCACTCCATTACAGACGACTTTTCCATCTACACCTGGGTCTAGCTCCGCCTCTATCTGAATTGGGCCCCTCCTCCTCGTCCTGCCTCTACTCAACCTCGATTGGCTGGAGGAAGAAGACGGTCGGCCATTGGTCCCTTCTTGAGGGGGCGGAGCTGGGCTTGTTTCTTCTCGCATGCGCAGACCACGCAGCAGAAGGGATGCAAGTGGCGCTGAGGTCAGCTGTGCTGGGGTCCTGAGCACAGGCGGCTGGACGCGCTCCACCCGGCAGCCAGGCGGAGCCAAAGATGCTGACCCATGACGCACGGCCCCGCCCGGACCCTGGGCCGCCTCCGGCCTTGCCCTTCCCGCTGTTGCTGTTGGTGGTGCTGAGCGGCCCGGCGTCCGGCCGTGTACCCCGCTCGGTGCCTAGGACCTCGCTTCCCATCTCCGGTAAGTCGCGGGCGCCCTTGCGCTCAGCCATTCGTACCACGCCCAGATCCCGCCCGCATCTGCCCACACCCACCTACCCTCCTAACCTGGGGCGGGCTCATGGCGTCCTGAGGCATCCACACCCCACCGGTACCCGGATGAGACCCCTACTCTTTGCTATCCCCATCCCATCCTTGTCCTCACGCCTCAGCTACCACCGACACACCCAGATGCTTCCAGAACCGCAGAAGAGTTCAGAGCTTTATCCTACGTAGGTGGATACTGTAGTCCAGGGAGGACATGGGGGATGCCGGAGGTTGTCCGTTTCGAAGTTCTCTCTCCCTTATTCCCCCGCTCATACACCTATGTCCATCACGTCACTGAAACCCATTCTACTCCTAAACCTTACATCCTTTCATTCTAATCTAACCACTCACCTTGGTCCTCAGTCAGCATTCCCATCTTCTAAATTATTTCCCTATCATCAGTTCAAGGCTCCCACAGCCATCTAAGCCTCTAGCCTTGCTCACAGCCTTATCTTCCCAACCCACTTCCCATCCTGCTCACATCTGCGCACCAGCTCCCATCCTCCCATTATCAGATTAACCTTAAGTCTCTGACTTCCTGAATATTCCCTCTCCCGCTGCCCATTCATGCGTAAAACTATTGATTTAAATTAATGCTTAAATGATTTTGAAAGTCTTCAGAGGGAAAAAAGGGGGAGGGAGTCATAATCTTTTGAAAAGATGTGGAAGAAGCCAGGGGATGCTATAAGATTAAAAGTGACTATTCACACTTAAGAAACTTTTTGCTGAGGTGGGCATGAGTGTGCCATGACCTTGTTTTCTTTCTTTTTTTTGGTACTGGGGCTTAAACTCGGGGCCTTGCACTTGCTAGGTAGGTGCTCTACCACTTGAACCAGGTCTCCAGCCTCCTTGTTTTCTTCTTGATGAGTACTGAGAATAAGCTCCTTAGACAGACAGAATGAGTGAAGACAAGAGGACAACCTGTTGACAAAATCTTACAACTGGGTAATAGTGACTTAGAGCCTAAACTTAGGAATCCAGAAGGCAAAGTTGTGGTCAGAGCCTGGGGTTTCCGTTTGTGCTGGAGCAGTGACTATAAAGTTAAGGCTGATGTCCAGGAATCCGGAGAGATTTAGATGACAAGGTAAAGCAGAGTTGGGGATGTAAGAATTTGGGTAATTCAGGGCTTATACTAAGCATGAGAGAGCAGGAAGGATGTAGCACTGAGGTGAATATGGATATGGAAGAATGGGGTACATGGGGCTCAAAACAGCACATCTAGAAGTGAAAGGGCTGGTGGCCACTGTGTCTTGGGGGCATCTGAGCAGATGAAGCAAGCAGAGCCCAGCAGACATAGGGTCACCAGAACCAGAGGTTGAGCTGAGAAGGTAAATATATGCAAAGTTATTTGTTACAGTCTTTAAATGGGTGAGTTTTGAATGCTGAAATGAGGTTTAGATTTGGCCAAAGCAGAACCCATGCCTAAGGAAGGAAGGAACCATTTGTGAGAAATGTAGTGTATGCCAGGTGCTTCCATATATGCTATCTCACTTAATTCTTCCAACAGCCCTGAATGGTGGGTATTTACAGATGAGAAAGGTGATGTTCAGAGAGGGCAAGTAACTTACTCAAGATCATACAACTGGTAAGTGGAAAAGCCACATTTAAATGCAGGCTGGTCCATTTCTGTTTTAGTCTATGTGCTGCCGAAGCAAGCACTGGGCTGGTCCATTTCTGGAACACATACTTTTTGTACTACATGCTCTATCTCTGGGTGGAATGGGGTGGGGGAAGGTCAAGCATATAGGGTGAAAGAGATACACTCCTAATGTTTTGGTAAAAGAACGAAACATTGCTAGGTGTAGTGGTGCATAACCAGCACTCAGGAGGCTGAAGCAGGAGGATCTCTCAAGTTCAAGGCCAGACTGGGCTATATAGCTAGATCTCAAAAACAAAACACCCCCCCCAGCTAAACAAAAACAATTGAAAAACAACAACAAAAAGAGCGAAACATTTCTAAGTAAGAAGTTACTATTAAGCAGTGATTAAAAAAAAAGAAAATTGGGAAAGTACTTATACTTTTTATTGGTCTTTTAAAATTATGTATCACATTGCTGTGACTCTAAATATAGACTTAATATTTATGCTTTTATTTTTTAAAAATATTCTATTTTTATAGATAAAGTCTACTTGACTGGATTGTGTGGTAAATATGTTGGCTTCCTCAGTTGTCTGTTTCTGGGAATGGGTAGATAGTTGGCCTGTCAAGGCTCTGTTTTTTCCCCTGATGGCTGCCAAATCAATGGTACTTGGCAGAAAACAAAAATTGGCCACTTTGGCTTTGCCCTTGTGGATCCAACCCTTATGAACAGATGGCTGATACCATTTTTCCCTCTCCCCTTCTCTTCTTGCCAGAGGCTGACTCCTATCTCACCCGGTTTGCTGTCCCTCATACGTACAATTACTCTGTTCTCCTTGTGGATCCTGCTTCCCACACACTTTATGTCGGTGCTCGGGACACCATCTTCGCTTTATCCCTTCCCTTCTCAGGGGAGAGACACCGCAGGGTGAGAGATGAGAGTGGGGAGGATCCAGACTCCAAAGCATGTGATCAGGTTTATAGTTTTATGGGCTGAGGGTGGGGGAGTTTCATAAAATCTAAAGATATAACTGCAGTGACTATTGTTTCACCTAAGTGGTTCAGAGGGTCATGGTGACTGGGGAGGCCCTGAGGGAGGTTCATGATGATGGGGAAGAGGCCACAATGACAGCTTTCAAGTGACACTGGGCAGAGGGATCATTAGAATTACAATACTCTTGGGAGACAGTTCGCAAGATTTTTTGACCACTCATTAGTATTGTGACCCCTTACACAGTGTGTACTGATAGAAACTTTTCTTAAAACTGTATTGACTTGCCTACATGTGATACATTCTGATATATTCTATTTCAGTTTCACTAAAGACAATGTGGTTGTGATTTCACAAATAATTTCATTACTCATTAATGGGTAGGGACTTCTAGTGTGAAAAATAGTGCTCTATGGGGATCTCAGAAATGCCCAAATTGACAGAGGTTATGAAACTGTCTCATGTCCCTTGACTTGGAGGAAGTTTTGATGGGTGAAGTTTGAGGGGGGAAAAAAACAGTCACTCCTCCTTCCTCAGATTGACTGGATGGTACCTGAGTCTCACCGACAGAACTGTAGGAAAAAAGGCAAGAAAGAGGTAGGTGAAAACCTGGGTCCTGTCCTGAGTGTTCATTGAAACCTTGGCCCAGCTGTGACTTGGTGTCAGTCCCCTGTAGTGCTCCTATCCTGACGGGTCCAGGAAGAGTCTCTTAACACCACAGCATCATCCATCGTCCCTGATTCCAGAGCTGCAACTAACTGTCTTGACACTACCTTGCCCTTCCTTATACCTGCTGGTTCTGATTCTCTCTAACCATCTCTGACCCCCAGGACGAATGTCACAATTTTGTCCAGATTCTCGCCATTGTCAATGCCTCTCACCTCCTCACTTGTGGCACCTTCGCTTTTGATCCGAAGTGCGGGGTTATTGTGAGTGACAGGGGTGGGAGGAAAGGGAGAGGGAACCTGTACCAGTGTAAGTTACTTGGGGGTGGTGGGTGGGTGGGAAAAGTTTTCTGTGAGTGACTGTGTTGGGCATGGTTCATGCAACCACTGTGCATGATAAGCTTTGGGGGTAGAGGATGTCCTTACAGTGGGGAGCTTTTGTCTGTCACCAAGGAAGGGAAGAATGGGGAGGGAGAGGGAGGCAGTCTGTAGAGGGTGAAGTATACAAAGTGTAAAGGAGATACAGTGGGAAGGTAAAGGAAGTTAGGGTTGGGCTAGGGAGAGTACAAATCCAAGAAAGACTTCAGAAATCAGGAATTCAGGTTTCCCTTGCCCTGTGGATGCTTTGGCCAGGTAGTTTGGGTTCATTTCTTAATTACCCTAGCCCATGCCTATTTTTCCTCCTGCATGTGATGGTCTTACCATCTTCCCTACCTCTTCTGCCAGCTTCATTCTGTGTAGGCTGTGGCTCTGTGCTCTCATGGGTTCTGATGTTACTGCCCACTAATGTGATTTTTGCTACTCCCTTCTGGATCTGGCCTCCAGGGTGGATACTCTGTCAAGAACATGTTCTTTTAGATCCTGTTCATTGTTGACTTCATCACCCTCAAACCAGTCTTGGGACATGTATACCTCTAATGAAATCTAATCTAGTCATAGCTACATGAATCCCTGGGATGGTGACCATTTTTGAACTCACAGCTTTTCCCATCAGTTTTACAATAGTCAGCATTGGTCCTTTGACAGCACATCTGTGACTAGGCCCTGGGTAGAGCAAAAACCTTTCTTATTCTTCATATCCAGTACAGTGAAACAGTTCCCTTTATTTCTTTTATTTTTTTCCCCTGTGGTACTGGAGGTTGAACTCCGGGCCTCACACTTGCTAGGCAGTTTATTCCACCACTTGAGACACTCTTCCTCTTCCAACCCAACAATTTCCTTTCTTAACTCTGATCTTTAACTATAGATTTTGACTGGACTCTTCTGCAGTCTGCAGTAATTCAGTAATCCAGCTGGATCTAGTTGGTATGACTTCCCAAACCCCTGTTTGTTATAGAACACCCATATATCTCTTTATTAGGATGCTATAATTATATATTCTTGATTTCTCTAGTCCAGTTCCTCTGGGCTGCCCTTTGGTTAGATGGACTTGTGTAGAGTCCTTTTCATAATGCAGGTGATGGGTTTCTTACAAAAGTCTGAGAAAAGTCCCTCATCCTGAGAGGGTTTCCCAGTTCAGGGTTGTGAAAATCTTCGTGTTCCATCAGGTAATGTTGAGGGTCTAGTTTCCCAGTAGTCATCATCAAGTCCATAAGACAGTGATGGTACTTTTCCAGTCTGCACAGGCTCAGGGTTTCCATGGGTGTGAGTATCAGAACCAGGGCTTATACTTGATGTGATTGTTCCCAGTTAGTCGCCTAGGGTTTGCTTGCCATTCTTCCTTGGCTTTGTGCGTTGGGACCCTAGATAAGGTATGCAGATGGAAAATGTTCCGGTCATACCTGTTAAGGTGGTTGTGCTTGGACTCCTATCCATTCTTGAGGGACATTAGCAACAAAGAGGTTCTGTGTCCTGCACGTCCACCAGTTCGGCTCTTTCTCTGAACTCTGTTCGCTAATAGGCTCATAAAATGAGGGGCCATTCTTGGTGAATGCTCATTTGTAAGAGAAAGAGGTCAGCTGTGTTAGCCCTTCAAGCTACATCCTGACCCTGCTTTGTACATTCTCTTCTGCCCTTACCTTTCTTATTTTGCTGTCTTGCAACCCCAGTCTTCTTGACCAAATTCTTGCCTTATCCTTAATGTTTAATCTCTCATGTTCTAGACTGATGACATTGAGACTACGTATAACTATTTCTGAGAGCTTTAATCCAGACACAACTTGCCCAGAGATGAATGTTGAGAAATGAAGGTTCTTACAAAAAGGATGGTATCTACCGGCTCCACAAGTGAAGTGTTGTCTTTCAAGGTCACCTCATCAGACATTGAAGAAAATATTTTAGTTTAATTTGTTGAGGGAACTTCAGAAGTTAATAGATAAAAATGTTAGCTTCTAACAACCACCAAAACAACAGTGGTGACCACTCAGTTGAGTATCTACTCTGTTATAGGCTTAGTACTATGTACTTTACATTCATGATTAAGTTTAATTTTCATCATCACATAATTGTTATTTTTGTTTATTTCTATTTTATAAGTAAGGAAACTGAAGTTCAGAGAAATTAGGTACTATATCTAACTTATATAGCTAGCAGAGGCAGAACCAAAATTTAAACCTAGGTTTGTCTGTCTCTATCTACTTGTCCATCCTTCAGTTTAGAAGATCTTATCTGACTTCAATTTCTCGTACCATTTGACATGTTTCATGTGTCAGGGACCATATTTCTTTTCCTTTTTCTTTACTGTCTGGGAGAAGTCCTTTATATACCTTCTATCCATCTTGACCAAGGACCATTTCCATCCTTACTACTCAGTGAGAGCCTTCCTGTTTGGCTTTAGCTTTCAACTTGAGGGACTTGCCTTCACCAGAACTGATTTTAGAAGACTGCTGACTGACATGACAATACAATGAAAAATCTCAGAGAACATATTAGAAAGGGCTTTCCCTTTTCTGACCCCAGTTCAAGGTCATTTTGACTACACAGTAATCACATCCTGTCTAGGTAATGGGAGGCTCACTTTCTCAAGGGTTATGACATGATGCCATTGGGGGAACTTGGAAGGCAGATAGTCTTGATGTGTTGGGTTTTAAAGGACCAATAGGCAATCTCTGTAAGGAAGTCCAGCAGTCAAATGAAAACATGGACTATGGCTTTGAAGGCATTAGACTTGAAGAGTTTGGGGAAGAATTTGCATAGAAAGGCTAGAGATAAGTGTGAATAAGATGTTTGAAGGATACTATGAATAGATCCTTAGAATGCACATGTCATGACTAGAAAGGAGAGAAACAATAACTTGATAGGAGGAGGGACTATAGGAAGATAGAGTTTCAAGAGCCAATGAGTAGAAGAATATTTCAAGGGAGTGAATCAAAAGTGTCAAATGATGGGCAAAGGTTGAAGAGAATGAGAACTGAGAAAAGGTTCATCTTTTCTGTCTTTGGTGATATGTAAGGGAGCAGTTTTAGGCATAGAGATGGGAAAACATAATTTGTTTTCCAGGAATAGTAGGCAATTTGGATTGAATAGAACAAAGATCATTTTGAGAAGTAGTAGAAAATAAATAGGTTGGGCTAGAGTTGTACTCTAGGCAACAGTAGGCCTTTTTTTTCATTCCCTTACTAAAAAAATGTATTACCTAGTTAGTGGCTGACACTTTGGAAGATTAAGCTAAGGTGGCTGTAAAGATAAATTGAGGGTGGGCCTAGACAGCATACAGAAAGGAGGTTACTACCATAGTTTAGGTGAGAGGGAAGAAGGGCATCCACAACAGGTACTAAATCGCATTTTCAGAGTGCCTGAACACCTTGGTAATCTTGGTAATCACTGACCCATCATCTTTTTCCTCAGATAAGGATGCTGGCTTTTGGCCCCTGGGCTTCAGCTGGTCCCTATCAGGCTGCACTTTTCCTTGTCCTTCCTAAGGGCTGTAGCCCTCAGGAGACTGCTTTCTTCTCTGGTCTTCTTTGTCTTATAGCACATTCTGTAGCTAATTACAAAGTGGCCCATGTCCAGCCTTTTAGTGTTTTCTAGAGCCATCCTAGGTGTTCTTTATCAGGGAATGTGTGATGGGTAATAAAAGAATTGGGAGAAGAGGAATAAACTGATGAAAAAGGAATAGCAGAGATAGAAAATGAGAAATGATGGAGGAGTCAGGAGTAGGTGACTAAATATGGGGATGGTAGTAGGGAGATGGGAGATAAATGGGAATTGACTTTTCCTTCATCTGACTATCTATGTAATTCTCACCATGAACCTTTTCCATAACCCTAAACCAACTACCCCCTTCTGATCTGTAGGATGTGTCCAGTTTCCAGCAGGTGGAAAGACTTGAGAGTGGCCGGGGGAAATGTCCTTTTGAGCCAGCTCAGCGGTCAGCAGCTGTTATGGTTGGTGAGTGGGAGAGACAAGACCCTATGATTTCTTGCTCTAATTACTGCCTTCCTCACCCCTGCTGTTGGAATTTCTTTGTCCTTTTCTTAGAATGTCTATTATTCCCATGTCTCTTTCTCGCCTTTCTGTTCTTCCCTGAGTGCCTGTGGCCACCTGCTTTTCCCCTCAGGGTATTATTTCCCCAAGGCTCTCTCTAGAGAATGTGACCTCTGTACCTCTAGTGTGAATGTTTCCTCTGTTAACCTCATTTTCTTTTCTCATAGTATTTATTTTTTCAGTTTATAAGAGAAATCTACTACAATCCATATTGTAATAAGTTTGGAAAAAGCATAAAGAAGAATATAAATCTAGAGCAGCACTGTCCAAAATATCTTTATATGATAATGAAAATATTGTAGATCTTCTTTTTCCAATTTGGTAGTCACTTGCTATTGTGCACTAGTCCTTGAAATTAACTAGTGTGAACAAAGGAAGGAATTTTAAATTTTATTTAATTTAATGTAAGTAGTCCCACGTGTCTATCGGTTACCATACTAATGCAGTTCTAGAATATCTCTTCAGAAAACCACTGCTAGTATTTTAGGATCTTTTCCTTCTAGCCTTTTTAATGTATGTGCATGCCCACCTACACTTACGAACAGATGTTTTGCTGGCTACCCCTTTGTTGTTCAGGGAATGACTGTTACATAAATTTCTGTAGTTGCTTCCTGTGAACAAACCATCTATAGTTCCTCAAGTGTGGATGGTTCATCACAGATCATGCCTAAATCTCTTCCGAAAAATGACTGTCTTAATTCTTTGTCAGCCAGAGAGAAAATTGTTTTTGTACCACATAACTGTACTTTAGGTCAGACTAACCCACATACACCTTCCCAATTTGGCGGAAACCATCTGCTTCCTCATGATAGTGTCAAACAAGCAGGTTAATGGAAATCTTATGCGTATTTTAACAGTTTTAAATGTTGTACTACATAGATGTAATTTTGAATTTTGTCATATAACTCATCATAGGAATTTCTATGTAATTGTTGTTATTGAGGCAGGGTTTTGCTATATAACCCAGGCTGCTCTTGAACTTGACCTCTTCCTGCCTCAGCCTCCCAAGTGCTGAGATTAGAGGCATGAACTACTGTTCATGTAAAAATTTACATAATTTAAAATACTTTGTAAAGAGATTTTTTAAATGACATTATATTGCTCATCCTTTAGCATGCCATAAATTAAACAATTTCAAATTGCTTATGTTATTTAGTTTACTTCAAAGTTTTTGCTATTATCTATATTGCTGTAGTGAACATTTTTGTGTACAATTTTTTGTCCTCATTTTAGATTATCTCATTAAGAGTCTTAGAAATGGATTACTACATCAAATGGTGTGAACATTTTATGACTATTTCTTGCTAATTGAGATTTTAAAAAGGGTGTATAAATTTGCACCCTAAACCAGAAACATATGAGAATGTATTGTTGTCACATAAACATACCAGAAACATTCCAGAATGTATTGTTGTCACATAAAATAATCTTTGCTGATTTGAGACTAAAAATGGCACTTTATTTTAATTTTATTATTTGAATATTAGTGAAATTGAACACTTTTCATGTTTTAGTATTTTTATTTCTTTTTTGGCAAATCCTCTGTTCATGTACTTAGGATGTTAGTGTTCTATAAATTTTTCCTTTGTGTTTGTATTTTTTAAACTCAGTCCTTCTTCACTTAGTGAACAGATAAACATTTTTCTCCTTAAAACTTTTCCCTCTTTGATATATTTGGAACTTATTTTGATGAATGGTGTGAGATGGGGCTGTAAATTAATTTTTCCTCTCTAGGTAATCAGTTATTTAGCATCATTTATCATACTGATTTTTCTTTCTTCACTGACTTTTGCTGCCAAAAATTTTACTGCCAAAAATTTTGCTGCCAAAATTTTTAATCTATATCTTGGACAATATTTTATATAAAACAAAATTGGGACATGAACTGTAACAGTGAAATTTTTTTCCCTTATGACTTTATTTTCAGGAAAAGTCTTAAAAGTATACATACTAATTCACTCTTGGTCATACAGCTAATGACTTTCCTTTTTATGCACGTTTGAATAAATGCTATTTTTTCTTGGCTTTTCATCAACTCATCAACATTTTTTCTGTTTTTGTTGTACTGGGGTTTGAAGTGAGAGCCTTGCAATTGATGGGCAGGTGCTCTCCTACTTGAGTCACACCTTCAGCTCCTCATCAACGTTTTTGACAAAACTCTGAGCCAGCCACTGGGATCACTAAAGATGTCTGGGTTTTACTCCGTTGTAAATGTTGCTGGAGTCTGCAAAATTGTTTATCAACATAAATGACTTCTTAATGGCAATAATGTAAGGAAATCAATTAATATACTTTATTTCAAGCAATAAGCTTTACGAATGTATATCCCTCTGAATAATTTGTTCTCTCAGCAAGTGAATTCATATTACAATGTGATTTAAGAGAAATTTCACAAGTGATATCATTGTATGACAAATGGGAAGAACATTATCAAAAAGATTTCAAATATTTTTTTCTCTTTAGCTGATAAAATTCAGGGCTGCCTAAAAGAAGGAAAAAAAGAAAAAATTGAGGTGATCAGAATTCACTTTCTAGTTTAGAATGGCTATCTCAAGTTAACATATCATCTGTTTGTCTCCAGCTGCTTCAGATCCAAATCATAGTAAAAACTAATGTAAGTTTTTGTCTGGGCCATCATTTAAATTTTTCTTGATCTACATAAGTACCAGTCTTCACTTGGTGCTTTTAGTATTGATTCATTCCCACTGCTCTTGTGTTTTGAAAATGGCACTGTAGAAGCTAGTATAAACAAGAATTAGAATAAAAATTCCCAGTTCTCAAAACTTAATATAGGCTGTTGTTTTTTTTTTTTTTTGGTGGTACTGGGGTTTGAACTCAGGGCCTCAGGCTTAACATTTGAGCTACTTACCAGCACTAATAGAGGTATTTTGGAATAAAAAGAACTTTTAGTAAGGAGACACTTATTGGAAAATAATAGCAGGAATATTATTTCAAATTATAAAAGCTACAATGTGCATTGTAGGGAATTAGAAAATAAGGACATGTATAACAAAGAAAGTGAAATTTTTATTTGTAATTCTGTTTTCACCAGGTAATCACTATTATTATTTTGGAGTATATTAAGGATTTTCTTCTATTATGTCCATGTGTATATGTGTATTTATAAATAGACTGGAATCATCATTCATATTTATTGTTATTATATTAAGCATTTCCTCATCATTCAAACTGTGTAGTTACTGAGAACATGATTTTTAGTAATTCCATACTCTTCTATCACATGGATGTAAGACCATTTAATTATGCCCGTATAATTATGCATTCAATTTTTAAAACCAATTATTGCTTTTATAAATGCTGCGACAGAAATCCTTTTATGCAAGTTTTTATGTAAATCTTTTGCATGAATCTGATTAATTGTGTATAAATCAATGCAAAAAGTGGAATTACTAGGTTGAAGGTTGTAAAGATTTTGATGATGCTGATGGATTTGTATAAATTGTTCTCCAGTTAGTCCCACCAGCAATGATGAGAAAACCTATTTTTTTGCACCGTTGTCAGCTCTAAGTAATACAGTTACCAAACACACAAACAGTGCCTGCCAGTGTCCAATTTGATAAGTATTTTGACGGGCAATTCTACTAGTGAGGTCAAATAATTTCTCATGTGTTTGTTGGCACTTCTATTTCTTTTGGGAAAAGCCTTATAAATCTAGTTTTAAAATATGTATACTGTACTAAGATAAAATTAGCAAAGTGATTTCAGTGTCTTTATTTGTACTATTCAAATTTGGAAAATTTGTGAATATTTTGACAATTAACATTCATATTAGCCTAAAATCTTCAGTAAGTCCTCCTCAGTCTCCTTGGTAGGTTCTTTGTCTTCTGCTGATAGGTGTCTTAGGCTTCTACTTAAGAGCCTCTTCTCACTCTATGTAGTTAGAGTCCAGCCCTATGGCTACTTTTTCCAGTGCTTTCTGATGCATCCTCAATCTATACCTGCCTCCTGGACATTGGCTAGAGGAATATATCACACATCCAGCTACCGTTCAGATATCTCTGCTTGTATATCCCATAGGACATCTCAAAATTATTATCTCCCAAACTGATCTCATTGTCTGCACTTACTTTCTCTAAACTTATTCCTCTACCAGCCTTCCCTCCTCTGAGTACGTAGTGCCATTACACATCCAGTTTCCCAAGCTAGAGGCAGCAGCTGGTTGTCTTTGGTCCTCCCTACCACATCCTGTAATAAATCAGGCTTTCATGAAGGTGGGCAGCAGCTTTTGCTTTTTCTCTTTGAGAATATATCCTGTGCCTTTTTATTCACTGCTTTCAGTCTCATGCACCTTGTTATAAGGCATCTGCCAAGGAACACTGTCAATGTTCTGTATGCACTGGCTGTTGCCAGCACTTTGGGGCCAAACTTACCTCTTAAATCCATGTATGTCTTCCCCAAGACTAGCATTCACACACTGAAGCAAGACAGTTGTAGAAATCCTACCTGGCCTTCAGAGGGAAATATAAACATTACATCTCCAACTATTTAATTATGTCCCACTAGTAGGACAAAAAAAAAATGGTATCCAGCTGGCCCAGTCCTTAGATAAGGAAGTGGAGAACGAACATTTGGAGCTATCTATTCTGAAAAGTATCTGAATGTGAGAAGAAGAGAGAGTGGGAAAATGAAGGCCAAGGCATATTCAGAATCTTCTTTTTTAAAGCCTTAGAGCAGATAATCCCTATTGTTGATCTCCTTTAAAAGTGAGCATGTTGGCTGGGTGTCAGTGGCTCACACTTGTAATTCTAGCTACTTAGGAGGCTGAGATCAGGATTGCAGTTCCAGGCCAGCCTGGGCAAGAAAAGTTTGTGAGACCCCCATTTCAATGGAAAAAAGCTGAGTGTGGTGGTATGTGCCCATCATTCCAGTGACTGTATAGGGAAGTCTAAAATAGGAGGATTGAGGTAACCTTGTGCCCAAAATAACCAGAGCAAAAAGGGCTAGAGCTGAGGCTCAGCTGGTAGAGCAAGCCTAGCAAGCATAAAGTCCAGAGTTCAAACACCAGTACTGTCCCCTCCCTGCCCCCAGCACCCCAATAAGCCATTTTTAATTCTAGTGCTAAGGCAAGAGGATCATGAATACAAGAGAAGCCTTGGCTACAAAGTGAGACAGTGTCTCAAAAAAAAAAAAAAAGCATTTTGACATCAGAATGGAAATTTGAAGTGAAGTGAATATTGCCTGCCATGACGCACATCCTAGCCTGTCAGTTTGGGGTTGTTAACGCTTTTACATTTGGGAGGCCTGTGTTCATAGACTTTCCATCTGGGAAAGTAGGGATCTGTTTTCACACATAACTGTGATTTCTGTTTGGCTGTGGTTCTTCATCTTTTGTGGCGTTCAATCTGTTTTTTATTTCTAAAATGCAAACATCTTAATTTTTTTAGTTATAAAAATACTAGATGCTAACTACAAAAACATTCAGTGGGCACAAAAAACATATAAAGAAAATAAAAAGCACTTTGAATTCTGTTAGAAACAAAGATTATTAACTTAGAGCTCCAACAATTTTTGGTATACATATAGAAATATATGCATTAAAAAAATAAAAATCGTACTGAATTATCCCCAGTGTTTTTTCTTAATTAGCTTATTCACCAAACTCAACACTGTGGGTATGACTTCATCTTTTGCCAGTGGCCAGAAGTGTAATTTTTTTTTCCAGTGCTAGGGATGGAACCCAGGGCTTTGCACATGCCAGTGCTCTACCACTGAGCTGCATTCTCAGCCCTTGGTTTTTTGAGACAGGGTCTCACTATATAGTCCAGACTGGCCTGGAACTCAAGATTCTCTCACCACCCCCTCCTGAGTGCTAGTATTATAGGCATGTGCCATCATGCCTGGCCAGACATGTATTTTAATGTTTATTGACTTGATCCATTCAGCAATAAATTGCCAAACAATTTCACATTTAGGGATATTTTATTATATGAGCATTGCAATTCCATCTCCTTGGAATTGAGAGTGTCTTGGGGAATCTTGGATATGCAGTGGTTCTGTCCTCCAGCGATTAGGATCCTCCTGTCCTCATGACTGATGGATACTGTCCTTTCTGTGTGTGAGTGTATAATAGTGTGTGGCAAGTCCCTTTTTACTCCTGGAGAAGCGAGAGCTCTGCTACTTCCTCCCAAGTGTCTGATCCCTTCTGCTTGAATTCTGACCCTATGTTATTCCACCCAGAGTGACTGAGTTCTCTTCTGCATTTCTAGTTTCCACTGTTGCTGATTCCCCTATTAAAACTTTAGAAAATTTTAGGACCCTTTACCTCCATCCATGGTTGGGTCTTTGCATGGTTATCTGTGGTCCTTTATTATTTCTGAAATACAAGTGATTGTTTACCCCAATCCTAATACTCTAAACTATGCTCCCTAAATACTCATAACTGTCTCTTCTACACATCTCCTTCTATTCTCATAGAATCTATGATACAACTTCTGTCAGAGTTTTGGTTTCGTAGTGTTTTGTGTATTATGCTCTTTAGGAAAAATTTCAATCTAGCTTGTTTGTATCAGCTCCTCCTACCCCACCCCCCAGCTTTGGGAATACAGGGGATTGGCTCATTTGCTGCTGGGGCCTATGACCAGTATTTGGTTTTTGTTAACTGAAATTCTCTGGAAGGGAACAAGATGCCATTTAATAGCTCCTCCTTCCCTTCTGATAGTATGTCAAACATATGACCCTTCAAAGTTATATAGAGAGCTGTAACTAATGTGTATTGAATGCCTACCATGTACCAGGTCCTAGCTGGGGATCTGTAATTGTTATCTAGCCCTCAGCATTTACTCTGGTGAAAGTTGGCATTATTCTTATTCTGTATCTGAAGAACCTGAAGTTTAGGAAAGTTAATTTGCTCAAGATTATACTACTCTTTTTCCCCCCAACTCCATCCCCTGGTAGTGGGGATTGAACCCAGGACCTTGTGCATACTATGCAAGTGCTCTTCCATTTGAGCTGTGCCCCCAGCCCTGTTGTTTGCATTTTATTTTTGAGATAAGATCTCAGTACCTGTCCGCCTGAGCTGGCTTGAACTCTTGGTCCTCCAGCCTTTGCCTTCTAAATAGCTGGGATTATAGGCAAGAACCACCATGCCCTGCTTGATCATACTACTATTAAGTAGTCAGGGGCCAAACTCAAATCCTCCTGATTCAAAAAAACTTGAATTCTTTGCATAATCTCAAGTGATGGAATGTTCCCCATCCCCCATCCTCAAGGAGGTTTCCAACCTTCCATTGCTGTCCTCAGAGGCCTCCTGGTTCTTTTTTGCTCTGCATAGTGTTTTTCAAGACTAGTTATCTTCCTAGTGCCTATGACACCTGGCTTCTCTGGAGCATCCATGACTCAGACAACTGTATGTCCCTCCACATGGTCCTGCTCTCTCCTGCTTCCCCAGTGACCATGAGCTCCCATGGCTCTTGCTAAGTGTCTGTGCACTGGCTTCCAGCATAGTGGCCTTTCTTCTCTCTGGCTTGATCTCAGTTGCCTGCAGTAGCTCCTTCCCTTCAGTGGTAAAGTTCCTTATGCTGTCTCCTCACTTTACGCTACCCCCCACCAGCCAGTACCTTCATGTTGTTCATGTTGTGACTTAAGCAGGATGTGTGATGACTCCCAGCTTGCTGACTCTGGCTCTGTTTTCCAGACCATTTTCTTTAATTGCCTTCTGGTATCTCTAATTTATGTCCCGAAGGTACTTTAGCCTTAGCATATCTAATATGAACTCACTTCCTGTCCTTTTGCCTCCTTCTGGAGTATTCTGCTATTATTTCCTGACTTGATTAATAATATCTCCATGTTCTACCATTAATCTTACAAGCTAGAAACCGTAAGAGACATTATTTTACTGCATTCTTTCATATCTCATATTCAACTGATTTTTAGATCTTGTTGATAGATTCTCTTCCAAATCAGAAATATTCTGAATTCTATTCAGAAATGTCTGCCAGCCCATCCCCTTTATTTTCTCTGCTCTGCCTTTCTTTAGGCCTTCTGCTTTTGCCTGAGCTGTGTGAATGGAATGACCTTTAACTAACATTATCTTCCTTTTCTTTCTTCTTGATTTTTAGAGGCATGCTTTTACTGTGGAGCCCATTTCATTGGCTTTGAATTCAAGATCTTCCTGCCTCAGCATTCCAATTTCTGGGATCACAGGCCTATACCACCATGCCTGGCCTAGCATTATCTTCTTAAAAAAAAAAAAAAGCAAAATTGATTAAGTTGCTTTCCTCCTTAAAAAAAAAAATTGTGCAGTTTTACTCTTTTTCCTGCAGGCCTGCAGGATAAAGTCTGCAGGTAGAGATGGGTGCCCATCTCCACCCCTCCAGCTTCTTCTCTGCTTACTTGCCCTGCTGGCAAGTTTCTCTTTCCGATTGGGCTTTAACCACCAGTGTCCCACATTCCTTCACATAGCTCCCTTCTTTGCTGCTTGCCTGTCTTTCTTCCTTAAGGTCTTGTACCTGGAAAACTTTTCATTCTTCAGGAATGTTGAGTTCTTTGGGGATAGTAATATGCTTGGAACCTGGAACAGTGCCTTGTACATAATAGGTGGTGAAAGCATGCCACCTTGTTCTCTAAGGGTGCCTGTGATGCTCAAGATGCCTCCAGGTATCTGTGACAATCTACTACCCTCATTCTGTTTCTTCCTTCTTATGGCTGAGTTCTTAGCAGTGTTGCTTAGGGTAGCCAGAGTTCTTCCCCATCCAGCCCACAGAGCTGCTCCTCTTTTCCCTCCCAGAATATCTGCAATTTCTCTCTTCTCCAACCCCAACCATTGCTAGAATGCCCCTGCCTCTTCATTGCACAGAAGGGAGGACCTCTGTTGCTTCCCCCGCTATCTCTGAAACCTCCACTTACAATGTGGAAACTTTCATTCATCCCCTGGGTTGATGTTTCTCAAAGTGAGGCCTGATACATTGGAATAACTCCAATTGCTTGTTTGAAATTCAGGTTGTTGGGAACCTCACCCCCCCAAGCTCTACTGAATGGGATTGCTGGGCCTAGGGATCTGCATTTGGATGAAGTCCCCAAGTGAGTCTAGTATACTTCGTCCAGAGCAGTATCCCAGACATCCACTGATTTCAGAAAGAAAACTGGTTCCCTCAGACTTTACCACAGTAGAGAACTTAAGTTAAATTGCAATGTGCAAAGCAATTGCTACTCTTTGGGAGTCTGTATACAATTAGCATATTACAGGGGTACTACCATAACAACAACCCCCCCCCCACCCCACCCCTGACTTCCATGAGAGTCACTTATTCTCCCTTCCCACCTGCGGACATTCTGGCAGTTTTCCCTCAGAGGCTGGTTTCCTCACTACCCTGGAGCAGTGTGTCTACAATTACTGTAAGTCACATGATCTCTATGATATGCTTATTGGTGCCTGGCACTTGGTGGTTGCTCAGTTCTGAGAGTTGCTGCCCTGCTTTAATCCCTTGCCCTGCCTGTGACCACTTCTGTTTCCCTTAGTGGGTCTCTGACAGCTCATCTCCTCCCTGTCGCCCTGCAGGGGGTGTCCTCTATGCTGCCACTGTGAAAAACTACCTGGGGACGGAGCCAATTATCTCTCGGGCTATGGGTCTTGCTGAGGACTGGATTCGCACAGAGACCTTGCCGACCTGGCTTAATGGTGGGGAGAGGGAGAGGGGCTTCCTGGGAGGCAGATTGGGTGGAGGCCAGGTGGCCTCAGGCTATGTTTATAGATCTGAGGCCACTGGTTTCCCCAGCCCCAGCCTTTGTTGCAGCCGTGGTCTTGAGCCCAGCTGAGTGGGGGGATGAAGATGGAGACGATGAAATCTACTTCTTCTTTACGGAGACTTCCCGAGTTTTTGATTCATACGAGCTCATTAAGGTCCCACGGGTGGCCCGCGTGTGTGCGGTGAGATTGCTATCCCTGCTGTCTGTTGTTTCTTGCTGTGTATCTTCCTGTATTTTCCTTTTTGGGTCTGTCTTTGCATCTCTCCTGTGTCTGCTTTTTCCTCTACCTTGGCTTCTTCTCTGGGAGCTTGAGGAATGTGGGGGAGGGGCCCTGGCCTCTCTGACCCAAATTGCTCTAGTGACACACTGCCTCCAGGAGATAGACTAGTGTAGAGGTTAAGGTGAGAGACTGAATTCAAGTCCTGCTCCACCACCTACTTCCTCTGTGACCCCGGACAGGTTCTTTAGCTTCTTGGAAACTCATCTGTAGAATGAGAATAATGATTCCAACCTATAAGGGTTGTTTTGAGGACCAAATGAGGTAGTTTCTATAAAATGTCATAGAGTGGTACTTTATGTGGCACCATTAACTTAGTCACTGTCATTGTTATTGTGACCCCATCTGCCCTTGTATCTCATTATCACCACAGTTCCTCAGTCTGTATGTCTCTCCTTGTATTCCTGTGTGTCTGTCTCCCTATCTGTCTGTGTCTGCCATAAAGTCAGGGAGGAAATTTGTATTGGGCTCTATGCTCCTTCTCCAGTGTTGGCCTTCTAAATAGAATTTTTCATGTGTTTGTCACCCCAGGGGGATCTTGGGGGCCGGAAGACCCTCCAGCAGAGGTGGACAACGTTTCTGAAGGCTGACCTGCTATGTCCAGGGCCTGAGCATGGCCGGGCCTCCAGTGTCCTGCAGGACATGGCTGAGCTTCAACCTGAGCCTGGAGCAGGGACTCCAGTCTTTTATGGCATCTTTTCCTCCCAGTGGTGAGGGGTCCTGGTGTGGAGTAGAGTTACAGGGTGGGAGACACGTGGGGTCGGCATAGTTGGTGCTGTCTCCTTCAGAGTGGATGGACTTTCCCCCCCTTGACTGTGTAGCTCCAATGCATTTCTTGAGAGTCACCTTATTTGACAAGGGATGAGTTGCTATCATCTAGCTCCCTGTAGATGTCTGGTTCCAACCTGTGTCTCTTCCAGGGAAGGGGCTGCTGTCTCTGCTCTTTGTGCCTTCCAACCACAAGACATTCGAGCAGCACTGAATGGTCCCTTCAGAGAGCTAAAACATGACTGCAACAGGGGACTGCCCATCATGGAAAATGAGGTGCCCCAGCCCAGACCTGGAGAGGTGAGAGGGTCAGGGCAGGCCTAAATTAAAGAGTTACTGTAAGGGCAAGAGTCAAGTATCATTGACAATTCCTGTTCCCTGGAAAACTTTGTCACCCAGCCCTGTGTTTCCTACAGTGCCTCACCAACAACATGAAGCTCCAGCAGTTTGGTTCATCACTCTCTCTGCCTGACCGTGTGCTCACTTTTATCCGGGACCACCCGCTCATGGACAGACCAGCTGAGGGCCACCCCCTTCTGGTCACTACAGATACAGCTTATCTTAGAGTTGTGGCGCACAGGGTGACCAGCCTCTCAGGAAAAGAGTATGATGTACTGTACCTGGGGACAGGTATATTTCAGAGTCAAACAAGTTGCCCATATAGTACATACTCTTACCATAGAAAGGATACCTAAGGCATCATAGACCTTAGAATCCCAGGCATAAGGACAGTTATGCTCTTTTTTTTTCCCCCTTGGCTGCCTCCTAGAGGATGGACACCTCCACCGAGCAGTGCGAATTGGAGCTCAGCTCAGTGTCCTCGAGGATCTGGCCTTGTTCCCTGAGCCACAGCCAATTGAGAACATGAAATTTTACCATGTGAGTTATAGATTTGGGGGAGTCTGTTGGGGAGGCATCTGAGTCTAGAGCCAGCTAAAGATTCTAATGTCTGGAAGAATCAACATATTCCCCTTTTCTGCCCCCTTTCTATAGGGCTGGCTGCTGGTTGGCTCCCGCACTGAGGTGACACAAGTGAGCACAACAAACTGTGGTCGTCTCCAGAGCTGCTCAGAGTGCATATTGGCCCAGGACCCTGTCTGTGCCTGGAGCTTCCGGCTAGATTCGTGTGTGGCTCATGCTGGGGAACACCGAGGGTGAGTGTGGTTGCACTGGTTTCTTGCCTGATATCCATAGTTATGTCTGTTCTCATCTGCCAATGCCACTCTCTGCTCCTGTCTTCTGTTAGTGTCTGCATCACTTGTGTTTCTTACCTGTCAGCCTATACTAACTCATTTGCCTGTCCATCTGGTGCTACCTAATTAATATCTTTGCCTCTGTGCTAGATGGCTAGAGCTTCCTTGGCAGTGAGACTAAGTCCATGTCAGTCAGTGACTGACAGACAGTGGGACTGATTCTGTCTCTGGTAGACACCAGTTTTCATATTACAAGAGCTCTTGGAAGTATCTTCACAGTCATCCCGTCCCTTCTCCTCTTGCCTTTTGTGACTCCCCTCTCCCTACTGATTCCTTTCTCATCCAACTACTGAAAGTTAGTATTACTCAGGGTTCAGTCCTGGACCCCTTCTTTTTATACTTCTACACTCTTTCTAATTGACTTCATTCCTGTTAATTCCTATACCATTTTAGTGCTGATAACCACAAGTGTATCTCTAGCTAAACTACAGAATCCCTATCTGATTATATACTTGATATTCTCCTTGGATGCTTCATAAGCAACTCAGACTTAACAAATAAATGTGCAATGTTGTTTATTCTTTCCTTCATACACTCCTCTTGTTCTCATCTCAGTAAAGGGACTTATATCCTTCTTGACCTCAAGTCAGACAGTGCTCACATTGTACTGATTCTAGCTCTAAAATATGTCCTCAGTCCATCCCCTTGTCTTCACCTCTACTGCTACCACTCTAGCTTAAGCCACCATCACTTTTTAACTGGACTACTTCTAATTGATCTCCTTCATGTCCATTTTGGGCTCCTGCCATCCATTTGCTACTCAGCAACAGGTTAAGAATACTTATCACATGGAAGCAGGTCCCTGACATTGTTTTTATCCTAAATATTTCAATATAGCTCTTTATCATATAAGGACTCTTAAAATGTTTTATTATAGGAACTTTAAAACATAATCAAAAGTAGAGCTGCTAATATAATGAATTTTTGTATATCCATTCCTAAACTTCAGTTTAGGCCAATCTTGTTTCATCAACACCTTTACTTACTTCCAACTATTTTGAAGCAAATCTTAGACATTATGACTTTATTTATAAATCTTTCTTTATCTATAACATAGGTTTGTTTTTTTTAAAGAATACATCCATTTTGTTATATAATGGGCAATATTACCATTATACCAAAAACTTAAATTACTTACTCTCATGAAATATCCAGTCAATGTTCCAATTTCCCCAGTTGCATATACTTAAAGTAATAAGTCCGTTTAAGTCAGAATTCAAATAATTTCCATCAATTCTAGTGGGTTTATTTATTTCTTAGGCTGAGATTCCTTTTCAGTATTTAAAATCCCCACCAATGAAGTATTTTTTCATGTTTTTTAAATTTAATTTTAAATAAAATCAGCATATATTAGTTTTACAAAGGAATTTCATTGTGATATTTCTACAGTATACCTTGATTAAATTCACTGCTCCATTACTCCTTTTCATTCTCCCTCCCTGCCTTCTTAAAGCAATTTCAACAGGTATTTTGGGTCAGTTGTTTGGAAAGTTTTTTGTTTGTTTTTAAAGTACTTTTCAAACTAATCTTGAGATTTCCTATTTTGAAGCCCAGTTAATTTGCATACCGAAGAACCCTAATTATATACCGAATTCTAGTGCATTACAGAACTGCATGGTTATAAATCCTTAAGTAAAAATGCTTGTCTTTGGGAATAAAACATTAATTAATACATGCCAAAACAGAATTAAAATGTTTAAAATGATAACTGACATATAATCAGGCTATCATGAAACTTAATTTTTTTCTTCTGATACTCACTTTGAATTATATGTATAAAATCTTGTGCTGTCTCTTGATCAGACTTAGTGTTTTGGATGGCAGGCTTGGTCAGCTTTATATTTTTGGTTAAGAATTTTGACCTGGTCTTTTAAGTTTCTTTTGGGAGAACTTTAAATCTCTTAAGACAAAACAATTTCTTTCCTTTGTTGTTTTACTGTTTACTAAAATAGGAATTTCATTGGTCTTAGATATTCCTTGTACTTGGCCCTCAAGGGTTCCTCTGAGATATATGTGGGCTTGGAGTATAGGGAAGAGCATGGGGGTGTGGGGTGTGGGCATGTGCCTGGGGCCTAGCTTTGTACATCTATACATTCTACCCTCCATATCTTAATTCACACGAAAGAAAACCAGACTGTGAGGTTCCTTTGGTTGCAGCTATACATACGGTCTTCCCATATTCACCATTCTCAACTAGATTAATCAGCTTTCATTTTTCAAGAAACTTTTATCTATTCATACCAGTCTTGAGCTCATTTAAGGGACCTCAATTGATTTTGAAGGCATTTGCACTCCCGTGAAGTCTATCTCTGGTCAAAGCTTTCAGGTGTTCAGACTTCTACCTGGGCCCTACTGACAGCCTGAGTGGGCCTCCCCACCTCTGGGAGTGGTGCCAAAGAGGTCAGCAGTGAACAAATCATCTTGCTATTGTAGTCTCCTGAAATCCTGGAAATGCCAGGATTGTGTTATTTGAAACAGATCCATTAGAGGCTGCTATATATCAATAGCCATTGAAGAGAGTTCTTTTGTAGAGATGAGCCACTTTTATGAAACAAAAAGTCATCTCAGTTTTACAGAAAAGAAACTTACTACCTGATTTGGTGGTATACACCTATAATCCCAGCATACCGGAGGCTGAGGCAGGAGGATCATGAGTTCAAGGCTGAGTCTAGGTTGAGAAACTGTCTCACAAAAAAACAAAAAACCAAGCAAACAAACAAATTTACTCTTTCTCTTCACAGGAAAACCAACCAACCAACTAATCAACAACAAAAGAAAAAACAACAAATAAAACTAACCCACTATAGTTCTTAGGTATTTTTTTTCCAGAGAAATCTTGTGATTATGGACAACCAGGTCCATTTTTTTTTTTTTTACGTGATTTCCTTTTCTTTCTTTCCCTTCCCTTCCTTTTTTGTTTTTTTGAGATAGCATCTCATTATGTAACCAAGGCTGCCCTTGAATTCACCGTGTAGCCAAAGCTGTCCTTGAACTTTCAGTCCTCCTGCCTCTGCCTCCCAAGAGCTGGGATTACAGACATGAACAACCATGACTGGCTTCCCTTTTCTTTTAAAGCATCCACTCACCAAATATCTTTCCAACAGACCACGGTGTACTAGAAATATGTGTAGAATTTGACATGGCAAATGTAATAAGGAGAATTAGATGTATTGGGAAAAATGTGTTGATGACTAATTCTGGGGTGATTATGGAGATGACAGAGGATATAACGAGTGAGTGAATGGTCTGTGGTGCTGAGGAGGGTGGGAGCCAATGCTGGCATTGGATTTACCAAGTATTTTCTTCTTTGCAGGATGGTCCAAGACATAGAGTCAGCAGATGTCTCTTCTTTGTGTCCCAAAGAGCCTGGAGGTCTGTATGGTTTAGAGAAATGTAGGTGAAGTAGATAGAAAGTTGTCCATTTTATTGATTTTTAATTTTTGGTGGTACTGGGGTTTGAATTCAGAGCCTTGGGCTTCCTAAGCAACGACTCTACACTTGAGCCATGCCTCCAGCTCTTTTGCCTTTAGTTTTTTTTCCAGATACAGTTTCATACTTTTTTGCCTGGGCTGGCCTCCACCCACAATCTTCCTATCTGTGCCTCTCACATAGTTGGAGTTAGAGGCATATAGCACCATATCCAGCTTGTTTGTTGAGATTAGGTCTTGCTAGCTTTTTGCCCTGGCTGGCCTCTAACTTCAGTCCTCTCTATCTCTGCCTCTCAGGTAGCTGGGATTACAGCCATATGCTACTACATGCCTGGCCCCAACTTGTCCATTTTATACCCATTTAAAAACTTGAATCCTGGAAGACATGGCAGCCATTGACCCAGAACCTCAGCCTCTTTGGGAATCCTCTTTCTTGGCTTTGTGCCATGGCTCCATCCTGTCTGATATCACACCACATTTCTCTCCATCACATTTCCAGCCTACATCCTCATCATCTGTTGTGCCTATGCTGTCTCTCCACAGAACGTCCAGTAGTGTTTGAAGTTCCAGTGGCTACAGCTGCGCATGTTGTCTTGCCATGTTCCCCCAGCTCGGCATGGGCATCCTGTGTGTGGCACCAGCCCAGTGGAGTGACTGCACTTACTTCCCGGCGGGATGGACTAGAGGTGGTGGTGACCCCAGGGGCCATGGGTGCTTATGCCTGTGAGTGTCAGGAGGGTGGGGCAGCCCGTGTGGTAGCAGCTTATAGCTTGGTATGGGGAAGCCAACAGAGTCCCCCAAGCCAGGCCCACACAGTGGGAGCTGGACTGGCTGGCTTCTTCCTGGGGGTTCTTGCAGCATCTCTGACTCTCCTCCTGATTGGCCGGCACCAGCAACGCAGAAGACAGAGGGAACTTCTGGCTAGAGACAAGGTGGGCTTAGACTTGGGGGCCCCACCATCTGGGACCACAAGCTACAGCCAAGACCCTCCCTCTCCTTCTCCTGAAGATGAGCGGCTGCCCCTGGCCCTGTCCAAGAGGGGTAGTGGCTTTGGTGGTTTCCCTCCACCTTTCCTGCTTGATCCTTGCCCTAGCCCAGCCCATATTCGGCTTACTGGGGCTCCTCTAGCCACATGTGATGAAACGTCCATCTAGAGGTAGAAAAATGGCCACCAGTACATGAGTGATCTCTGTGACTAAGTGGCTACTGAGATCAGGGTTGCTGGGCACAGACTCTTTGAGTCTGAGGATCACCTGGACTACAGTGTGTACCTCTATTGGCCTGGCTATGTTTGGGGCCAGGCCTTTGCCTGATTCCTGATGCCCATGAGAGATCAGAATTGTTCTCTACGGTGAATCAGGACTCTGCCCCACCCATCACTGAGTCCCCGTGACTCTTCAGCCCTGTCTCTTCTCTTGGGTCTGTCAGTTTTGGGGATTGGGCACAGGACATAGATCTGACTTTGTTTTCTGGTGGGCCCTGGACAGAAAAAAGAGCCATGGAGGTGGTTGGGGGCTAGTGTGCACTGAGTTCTCAGGGTGGTCATACTGATTCTCCAGTTTAGCTGATTCTCCATGGGGAGTGCATGATCCCTGTGTGGCAACATGGAGCCTCTGCCCAGAGATCTCCCCCATACTGGCTTCCCTTCTTCCATGAAGGGAAGTGTGTAAATATACTGGTGTTCATAGGAGACCTGGCCACATGTGCATGAAAGACTGGGCTGGTGCTTAGGTGCTTTTGGTGGTCTAGAGGAGAAGGTTGGAATGGGAGGCAATGCCTGTAGAGTGTTACACCTTGTAGCCAGTGAGGGAACCAAAACACCACCCCTTTCCCCATTACCCCACAATACTTCTCTACATTTGAGTAGAGAATAGCTCCCAAAGTGACCTTCTGGGTGGGAAGGGCAGTGGTACCTGTGACTCCATCCTTCTCTTTGTTTTTGCCCTCTGGCTGCCACCACTGCCATGCCTCAGCTGCTCTTTGCCTGGCTGGAGTGTACAGTGAGCCCCTTTATTTGGCTCCCATTAAAAATGAACTTCACGACATTCTAAATATTAGGGGATGACAAAAGGGGAATAGTTGCAGGAAATACAAGTAGCTAAAGATAGGTTTTTATTAGTAACTTTACTCAGGGTGACACCCTTGTCCTAAAGCAGGAGTCTCCCACATGGGGCCCAGGAACTCTCTGAAATTGTATGTAAAATGTTTGTATAATGTGTGTTTATATTTTTCTGGAGGGAGGTTTTATGGTTTTCTTCACATGCTCAAGGCCTTAACACAGTTAAAGGACCAGTGCACTTGGCCATGTCAAAGCAGTGCCACTCTGTGGCACCCCCTTTTGGCTTCACCCTATTGCCTGTTGTCAGTCCCTGAACTTATAACTGCTGGAAGCCCTGTTTCTCCAGTCCAAGGAAGCTGGGCTCTGTGCATATTTGAAGACAATGTCAACTCTCATCAAATACCCAGACCTCTTCCTGCTTGGACCTCTTCCCACGTGCTCTAGGTGTCTCCTGCTTAGTCCTGGTCTTGGCCTGTGAATGTGCCTCTTTCATCCCTGGTGAGGACCCCCCTCAAACTCCAGTAAATGGTCCAGTCCTTTCCAGCTGAAGTTTTCTGCTGTACTTTCCTTGTCAGCAGCCTGTGAACTACTCAAGAGTCCCCTTGGGTTTGGAATTATCAGTGGCTTTGCCACTAATAAGTGTATGATTTCCAGCATGTAAACTAACCTAGGGACATCAGTTTACTCATCTGTAAAGTGGGGATAATAATACCTACCTCAGGGTTGCTGCAAGGATTAAATGAGAAAATGTATAAACAATAAAGCACTATCTAAACCAGTAGATGTTGTTATTATAAATATTGGTTTATACCATAATCATCTGGTTTAATCATATAACTGTGACACATGTAATCTTTTAAAGTTGCATGTAGTGGAAGGTGAGCCACTGCCTCACCGATGTCTTGTCCTGGTTCATCCCTGGCCAGATCATAGCCAACAGTGTCAAGATTTTAGGCAGATCTGTGGCTTTTATAAACCTCAGATGAGTCCAACCTTTGTGACCTGTTGGGCTCTATATATGGGAGTGGAGGAAGGCTCTGTATTCTTTGGTTCATCCTCACTGCTGCCCTAATTGCTTGAAGTTATGGGTTGGTTCCACTTTAGGGGAGAAAGTGGGAGATGTTCAAGGGGACTAGGGTCTCTATGGGGAGAGGGTGGAGAAGAGTTTTTTTAAGGATAGGAAGGGCTAAGTGACAGTAGATTTGGGTTATGTGGTAATTGGCCTGTGGCTCTGGTTGGAGAAATATGGGATAAGGAATGTAGGAAAAAAGTGAGGGAGAACATAGTTATCAAGAGAGGGGAGCCACATCTTTGTTGGTGGAAAATTCGTGTGAGGGATAGCATGGGGATGCAAAACCAACAAGAAATAGGGTAAATACCTGGTTGCACTGTCTTTGGACTATGTGGGGATAGGAAGAGATGGGGTCCATGGATAAGGGCACTAAGGTGGGACGACAAAGGTCTTGCTCCCTGTTCCTGCAGGGAGGGACGCTAGGGTTCTGACAGCCAGAGGCTCCCTGGCCTGTGCACATTACAGCAGCTGTGGCTGGGGGCTTTTGTTTGTGTTAGCTCCATACTGAACATTACTCACTTTCTGCTCCTCACTCTGAGATTCCCCTCTGATTTTGACTGTGATCCCTGGTCTGTAAGTTGTGGTTGTTATTTTCAGCTTGTCACCCCTAACCAGTGGTTTGCTGCTACCAATGTGACCTTACTGGTGCAGAGGTAGAAAGAGATGCTCATTATTGGCTTTTAGGAGCCACTAACTCCAACAAGAGGTAGACCCACTTCCTTTCTCAGGAGTCCTTCCCTATTTCCCAGTAGCCTTGGAAGTTGACTGATGACTTTAGTGATAAAAGGAAAGGGCTCATTTTAGTACCTACTGGACCCTGACCCTCCTAGCTACTCTGCCCATCAGAATTGGTCATGATTCTTGGCACAAATCTCAGCTGGGATAAAACTTCACCTTTTGGTAGCAGAGGCAAGTTTGGATTTTTTTTTCTTTTTTGATGGTGGTACTAGGGTTTGACCTCAGGGCTTCAAACTTGCTCAAGTGCTCTACCTCTTGAGCCATTCTGCCAGCCTGTTTTTTTGTTTATTGAGTATTTTTGAGATAGGGTTTCACTTTTTGCCTGGGCTGGCCTCGAACCATGAACCTCCTGAGTAGGATTACAGGTATGAGCCACTGGTGCTGGCTATAGTTGGAATTTTTAAAGATTGTTTCCTCTCACTGAAAGGAAAACTAGCAATAAAAACAACAAAGAAATAATTCTGTACTTTTTGTATTCTCTGTGGTGGGGCCTATGTGTTAGTTTTTTCCTCTCTGTGACCACATACCTGAGAGAAATAATGTAATGGAGGAACAATTTAAAAGCTCATGATTTAAGAGGTTATAGTCTTGGTGGCTGGATCCATTGCTTTTAGACTTGTGGCAAGGCAGAAACATCACAGAGAACATGATGGGGAAAACTCACTTCATGGTAGCAAGGAAGCAAAGAAGGTAAAAAGAAGAGACCAGGACCAAGATACAGCCTTCAAAGGCATGTCCTCAGTGATCCACTTCCTCTAACTAGGTGCTACCTTCCACAGCTCCAATATCTCCCAATAGTCTATTCAAATTTTGAATCCATCAATGAATTAAACCATTGATTAAGTCAGAGCCCTCATGATCTAATTGTCTCTGGAAATGTCCTTGCAGACACATTCAGAGATGTAGTTCACCAATATACTAGGCATTTCAATCCAGTCAAGTTGACAAGATTAACCGTCTCAGCCTCTCTGTGATATGGCAAGTCATGTGGCCAGTAGATACCAGATGGAGTTCTAGAAAGACCTATCTGGATTGATATGAAACACCAGGTATTGGTTGGAGAGGGAAAGCAACAGAATGATCTAGCTCCCTGGGGATGTTAGTTGTGGGCAGTGGGGGTTAGAAAAGCCAAGATAAGGGATTAGGTTCAGAGGGCTACTCCAGGCTCTGTGGAGAAATGGTACAAACCAGGGACTCTTGATTTCAAAGGCTTCCAACCCATAAGATGGGTTTTCCCTAGACACACTAGGGCTACAAGTGAATCATAGACCTGTTCCTGATGAATATGGTAATGCTTATTTGTGTCTCAACTGGCACCCATCTCATGGACTCCAGACATGGTGGCAGTGCTGAACCGCAAATTAAAGGCTTCCACCACCTGCAGCTGGAGGCATGGTTGGGGCAAGAGGGATCCTGCAACTGACAATGGATCAAAGGAGCAACATCTCTCTTCTAGGTGCCAGTGAGTCCTTTGAGTTGAGTGGGCTAGAAATAAAATCCTCTCAGGACTGAGGTTCACTCCAGGTGTATTCACCATGCCTTTTTATTTTCTGTATTTCTGATGCTTTAACATCTGGAGTCTTGCTGACTTGGAGAGGTTGCCTCTTTCAGGGCAGCCAATTCCCAGAGCTAGTAAAGGATACACTTGAAGTTGAATTTTCATATACAAACCAATCCATAACTGCACCCAAACCTGTCCTCCGCTTTCTCTGTGGGATACTGTCCCCTCATTCTAATCATCTTAGGGCCAGTTATGACAACTAGATACAGCCCCTGTATGGCATAACCTGCTAACATTATCCAAACTAGATAGTCCTAAAGCTGCTTACTCTGCCTCACCTGTTTTCTCCCAAGGACACCACAGTGAAGGCTCTGGCCACATTTTCTTGGGACCCTGGTCCTCCACGTGGCCCTTTGTGTGGCATGCCATTGTCTCCTGTTCCTGGGATGTGAGAGTATAAACTTCTTCCTTGGTGACAGTCATTTTTGTGTCTGTGTGTCTTATCACACTTATTGAAACAAATGCTGGGCACATTTAAAAAACACCAAAGACTCCCTGAAAGTTAGAGGTAAAAGAGGCTAATTGGACTGGTCTGTTCAGGAAGGTTGAGGCTGAGACCTTATTATGAAAGCTTAGGCCTCAGGCCTCCACAGGACATTGCATGTCTGTCAGGGGTGGGCTTCAAATCACCTCACAGGGATCCATTTGAATTCTCCCCTCCATGCCCAAGAACATGGACTTGACACTCATTCTCAGCATTCCTAAGACACGTGTGCTTGATAGATAAGCTTCAAGGGGAAGAGTGCTTTACTCCTTGAGTGATGTGGACCTGTGCCCTGCTTCCGTGCAACAGGACAGACCTCTGGTAGGATGGAATGTGTGTGTGCTGCAGTTTGGGCCTAGAGAACTGTGGGAAAATGTTCCCATGCTTTGGTATGCAAAAAGGGAGTCACCCACCCTTTGTCTGTGTGGGCTTGGATGATGAGTTTCTCAGCAGAAATTATAAAAACCAGGCTCTCCTGCCCTTTACTAGGAGTGACATGAGCCCCATGGATACTTGTGCAATTCTAGGGAAAGGGACAACTACCTCCAATATAGCTGAGATTAAATCTCACTCCTTAAACAATTAGACCTTGAGAACAAGGTTGATTTCATTGATAGAAATAAAATAATTTTTGTACAATGAGTTTGTGGAGAAAAACATCCTGCCCACTATACTAATATCAGCATTTCTGAAATGATCTGAGTGGAGCATGTGCATTAAGAACCTGACTATAAACTAGGTGTGGTGGTACATGCCTGTAATCCTAGCCCTTGGGAGGCTGAGGCAGGAGGATTACAAGTTCTAGGCCAGCCTGGGCTACATAGAAAACCCTGCTTCAAAAAACAAACAAAAACCACCACCACCACCAACTAAAGAATCTGTCTATAGATTGAGAGAACAGAATAGCTATAAACAGGATGGAGTTGAATGAGCACTAGGTACCCAAAATGAAGAAAGAGGGTTTCCTTTCAATTCTTTACAGGAACCATTCTCCTGTGAAATAGCTTCTCCCCACACATGTCTATCAAACTGATCCTTTACCAGACTCAAAAATGATCACCTTTCAGATTTATTGGATTTATGCAT